ATAGCAACTGCTCTCCTTTACCTGTGATCATGAATGCATCAAAAGGCATACTAGACAGAGGACTATGCTTTCGTTACCTAGATATGTATTTTATAATAATGACAAAAAACAAGTAGAGAAAAGCGATACTATTTCATGATTTAAAGCTGAGAGTTGGTAATCATTCAATCATTCAGCCATCACTTATTGAAGGTCTACTGTATATTCAGATGCACACTGCATAAAGCCATGGCAGAAAAAAACAACACACAAGCTTAAGTCACGCTACTCAATAGTACGCCAATATTTTGACAGAGCAAAAGCTGGAAAAGAGAAGATTTTTGAAATAATATACATGTCTGCATATTGATGGGCATATTAAAGGTAGCACTTTAGATCCCCCTTTAGCATTTTTATCCAGCTTCCACTAACATTAAGTGGAATGGGCACTGTTCTATCCTAAAGCCAAACCAAACCAAAACAGAAACCTGCTGCACTCATCCACCTTTCTCTTTATCAGCTGCTTGTCTTTCTTTTGTGTACTTCTTGGGTTGGTAATGGATCCTGGTTTCTTAGGCCAAAAAGCTGCCTGGCTGAATGCAACCCCGAGAACTTGTAGTAGCTCGGCCTATCTTTTGCACGCATGTGGTTCCTTGGGCTTTATATTACCTTTTATAAGTCACAGACAGTGAGTAAAGGGGCCAGGAAGGATGATGCTGAGGCGACATGCATAGTTGGGATTGGTTGGTATAGGATGGGACTTCTTAACATTTTCAACTCATGACCACTTTATATTCAATATTTCTTTTTACAAGAGCCTGAGTATCAAGAAACATAAATAGCTACACAAAGCAAACACTTAATGATAACAAATCATAAAATATTTATTTTAAGATAGTTTTTCTGGTACATCTATAATTTTAGCATTTAGTAAAGATGAGGGCAAATTTGCATATTGAGATAAATATTTGCATACTGAGATATATTTGTTTCTGCTTAAAGTATTACATCTTGGCTAAATATTTGATTAAATATTTTTAATGTTCCTCAGAGTTGATGGATGCTTTTATTTTATAATTGGCCTCATTTCATAAACATGCAATACAAAAGTGGTGTTTCGGGCTATTATAGAAATTGTTGGAAATTCTACCCCAGCCAAAATTAATTCAATGATTTGTTTTTGAAACTCAAGTCATCAGCTCAAACAGCAATTTTTAAAGTCAAACATTATAATACAATACGATCTAATGATATACTAATTTGATACATGCTGAGGAATGCTGGTAGGAAAATACTGAAAATCTTTGTTTTCCATCATTAAACCATTATATTTCTGTATGAGAAGAAAACTTTGTGTACAGTAAAACACTGTAATTCATAAGATGAAATGTGCTTGAATTTGAGCTGAAATGTGTGGTGATTTGAATGAAATTAGACTCCACAGGCTTATATATTTTAATGCTTGGTCTCCAGTTGGTAGAACTCTTTGGGAAAGATTAGGAGGTATGAGCATGTTTTAGGAAGTGTGACACTGGGGGCTAGCTAGCTTTGAGGTTTTGGAAGACTCTTGCTCTTTCTTTATCTCTGCCTCATGGCTGTAGATTAAGATGTGAGATCTCTGTTGTTCCTTCACTAAGCCATCTTGGACTCTAACCCTCTGAAACTATAAGTCAGTTAAACTCTTTCTTTTATAAGTTGCCTTGGTAATGGTGTTTGGTCACTACAATAGAAAAATAACTAAGACAGTGTGTCAGGCAGTATTGGTTGGCATTGCATTCTGTGTGACAAAGTGTTGATGTATGTCAGAGCCAGGCTGTAGTGAAATTATGTGGCATAAAATGGGCATAGGCTGCCTGAAATACCTTGGATTCATTGTTCATTCCCTGTCATATGGTCAGAAACCTTTTCAATTGCCAATTATTTTATAATTCCAGTATTTATTTATACAAGCCCATGTTGGTTGCAGCACACAATTTGAGAGGCTATGGTCTAGAAGACATTTTCAGAGAAGGAAGAAACAACTTACTCTTAAATTCTGGCTCATGAATCACAATTTGCAACATCTATGCAAGAGATGAAAGCCTATATCAACTATTCTTCAGGTTCCCCAACAATTCCCCTTTTATTTCTCTACTTTTATTTACTTTCATTTTGCAATTTGTTGGTATATGCTTAGAAGCCTTGTCTTAGTTAGGGTTACTGTTGCTGGGATAAAAACATCATGACCAAAACAACTCAGGGAGGAAAGGGTTTATTTCCCTGGGGCTTCCATATCATTGTTCAGAATAGTGCCTGCCAATTCTGACCTCTGCAGATGCCTAACATTATATGACCATAAGAATATCGCACAGAAAAGATTGAAGCCTTAATGTAACATTTTGAAATGAAGCAGTTAGTTGTAAGTAGACTTTGCTTTTTCAATCAACAACAACAACTTTTATTTGGTTAAAGATGTATGAGAACTTCATGCTCTATTTATTCTCCTAAAATGAATTTATTATTGACAACATTCAGGCTATTTAATCTTGACTAAGTTCCCTGATGACTTCTGTGGGCCTTTATGGGCAGGGCAGATGTTTACTTCTACTAGATCCAGGAAGTTGACTACTAGGACACTTAAAATGCATGACAGAAGGGAACAGATGCCCCTGTGTGATAATGGGCAACATTTTGAGAAGAAAGACGAATGACTAGAATTACCAAGATGTGAACTCCTTTATTACTAACCCATCTTATTATCTCCCCTTTTGTAAACATCACAGGACACCAAGAATCACCATGCCAGGGATCATTTCCAGTGAAATAATCTCAGCTTAGTGGCCTCACATAGTCTCCCTGATCCAAACAATAGCCTTTTAGATAGCCTGTTCTTCAATTATCCTTTCAGCCTCCCTGGGCTTAAAAGTATCTCTCTGTTTTTGCTTCATTCCTTTTATGTATTTTTGAAGATGTGGGAGGGCAATACAGGGCTTCTATAGCATTATATAAGTAAAATGAAACTGATTGCCCATCACAGGTAAGCTGGGACATGGTTGACATGAGGGAGAACCAGTATCATAGTGTACCTGGGTGGTCCTTGCCCTGTGGTACTCACATTGGATTAAAAAAATGATATTAATAAGATCCCTTCCAATGGTGCCCAAAGGTGTCCTCGGGCAATTAGCTAGTAGGGACAAGGACAAGGCTATGAAATAGAGCTCTTCATTTGGGTCATGGTGATGACTTACACAACAGACTCAGCATTAGACACTTGGCCTTTATTGCAAAAACAATGATAAAATGCCTTCTCAGAATCAAAATTCCTCCCAGGCCATGTGGGAAGACCTGTGTTAAGGAGTAAAACAAAATTGCCTATGGCCTGTCATCTGGTAGCTTGCTTGGGAGCCTTTACTTTCTAAATAAAGCCCTAATTAAAACTCACAGAATATTCATCAGTTTTAGAAAAAAAATTCCCAGGTCTACTTACTAAAAAGGGATCTTGTACAAATCTCTGACTCAAACATCTTTCCCACTTACTGTCTATTCCTCAAGATTCATATGAAAGAGGTTGCACTGCCTTCAAAGCATAGACATAAACTTGACCTTGGTGGTACTTTGTGTCTTAGAACTTGGCTAAGAGAAACCAGAATATCCCCAATGGGATGAGTGTATAGGTACATGAGGTAATTGGAGACTAGAGGAGGAAGAATGCCATGATGGTAAGGTTCCTGCTCTGAAGAGAAGGAACAGGAACACTGTAGAGGAACTCCTCATGGCTAAGGTCTCACATTTGGTTGGAAAAACGAATTTTAGCTGTCCAAGGGAATCGAAAATAAAATCTGGAGTCCAAGAGTAAAATAAAAATTCATGGTAAAAGATAGAGATCATGAGCACTAAGAAGACAGCCGAGTTCTCTTTGTAGCTGATGGAAATTCATAACTGTCACAACGCAGAGAACAACTGATTGTGGGGTGTCTCGCCCTAGTGGACACATCTACTGCACAATCCTATACTCAAGACTCAGGGAACATCAAGGAAGAAGGGGGCAGGAAGATTGTAAGAGCCAGAGGACCAGGAAGTCTTCTGGGAGATTGTATCTCCTAGAAATGACATGGAAGATATACCTAAGAAACCTTAACAATAGGGTTGCCTAAGCAAGACCAGAACAAAGACAACACCAATAAACATTCTAACATGGAGGTTCATGGGGTTGAACCTCTAGACATAGACCTTCAGGCAGCTAAGGACTACTGATGGAGGGAGAATCAATCTTTTCCAGGAATCTGTAACAGGTTATCCAACACCAAGTGGCCATCTGTAAAATTATATATATATATGAGGCACTAAGTGGACTCAGCAGGTTGTATTTGTACAAATAAAATATAGCAATAATTCAAAAAAGGTCATAAGTTTGAGAAGGAGCAAAGGGGAGGGGTAGATTGAAGGCAGGAAAAGGAAGGGGGAAATGTTATGACTATATTTTAATTAAAAAAATTTAAAAAGAAGACAGCTGAGGAGTGAGGAGCAGATGGGTCAGTAGAAGAAGATACAGAGGATGAAGACTGACTGAGGTCTGTGGCTGCAGCCATGTGTGAATACTGAGACACCCACTGAGGAGAGCTGATCATCATCCACTGGTCTCCATATTGTTCCGTTCATAATATGAAACACAGAAACCTTTTCAAAGCATGAATTTGCCAGTAGAAACCTTCCATAAACAACTCACTAAACCACTATGTGTCTTTCCATTCACCACAGGCCAAAGCATGCTTCCAGGGAATCTGCAATCTTCATGCAATAATTAAAAAAGGCAATGAAGCACCCGAGAACCACACCCCCATCCCTGTCCATGTGGCCTAGGGTTATTTACTATGAACTAAACGGGAGCAGGGAGTCTATGGTGTCTTTCAATGATCCATTTCATCTATCAAAGTATATAAAAATCCCAGCATTTCAACATCTCCTGTCTGCCCTCTGTATCTACCAGGTGAGTTCTGGTGTGGCAGCAGAGATCAAGATTCAGGTTTCTGGACAGAACTCACCCTGGGGTCTCTCTCCAGCTGCTGCTTGTGGGGTAGGCTGCGTCTTCTTTTGGCCTTTGCAAGGCCATTGTGATAAAAGTGATACAGGCCTTCTGCAAAGGGGAGCTGTGGAAAGTCAAAGACAGGAGGATGGTTAGTTTCCGGATTGGCACCAGGATAGGGACATGTAAGCAGGAACTGTGTGAGGACACAGTTCAAATCTCCTGTTAGACCCCTAACCTCTGTGCTCTCGCTTTCCTCACTGCCTATCTGGCACCCATTTCCTCCCCTTTCTTCAAAGTCATAGCTTTTATAACCCGGTCTTTTCTTATACTCACACCAAATTCTCCAACCTCTTCTCTTGGAAAGTGTTTATACATCACTCTATATCCAGTTGCCCCAGGGCTGTGTTGTAACAAAGTGCTCTCTTACAGACTGATTCCAATCTCTCTTGGGGTTTCCCTGTGACTCTTTGGTATCTCTTCTCTGGTTGGGAACACTGTGGTCACAAATCTGACAAGTGCCTGCTAGGTGCTAGGCCAGGTTCCACACTATCTTCCTATGTTCCAAGGATGCCTGGAATTAAGTGTGAGTGCCAAGACCAGAGAAAAAAGTCATGGCAGGGAGAGCTTGTCTTTCTGTAAGAGTCACAGAAGATCTAGCGTGTACTGCCATTTGTTTTATGGTCCCAGGTAACTTGAGGGAAGAACCTTGATCTAAAAGCTTGGACTCTTGCATATAGCCCATGTTTTTTATCATCTTATAGAATGGTCTTAGGCAAGTCACCCCCTTTCCCTTCTAGGGCCCTCTCTCTTTCTCTTTTGCATAAAGGTAAGCATTTATAAAATTTACATACACACACACATGCATGTATACACACATACATACATACACACATATATGTATAAAGACCCAAGGTCTCCAGATCTCTGTACCTCTTCCACATGCCTTCATATTGATGAAAATATAGTTTGCAGTACTTGCCCTGAACAATTAATTTAACTGAATGCTTCACAATGAAGAAAATAATGTGCACATATACATTTTCACTGGAGAGAGGACACATGGTTTTCATGAGATTTTCAAAGGGGTTCCTGAATTGAAGTGTTCCACCATTCAAAGTATTTGATGGCAAAATATAGATATGTGTTGCAACCAAGTGCTGCTATGAGCCACAGCAATATGAAGTAGAAATTCAGCTGTATATGGTAAAGCTATACCTGGAAGAATCAAGGAATTCTTCCAGATGAACCCAAATCTCAGGGTGTGTTTGGTGTTATTTGGCTTTTAATACATCAGCTGTTTCCTGCTATGAATTTCATGTGTGCTCTCATACTAACTATGTATTTATCTGAAATACCTCTCAAGCATTCTAGACCAAAATGGCAGACAGAATAAGCTTTTCAGACTAACCACTGATCTGAATTAAGGTAAACACTCTTAAGGAGACCCTGCCTTTCCCCTAGGCCTAGGAGACAGGCAGAAGTTAGGTGCATAGCTTTGTTTCTTGTGCAAATGAAGCTCAGATCCTCCTTTCTCTCACAGCCCAAGTGGCATTCCAGAGCAATTGACTCAGAACAAAAGGGTTTTTTGGATACCAGGTGCAGTATAGCTATGAGGCAGGCTTTCTAGCTCTGAGCAGAGCTACCCTGCCCTGCCAGTAAATGGCAACATAGAAAAATAGAGGCAGTTTTATTTTAAGGGACACACAGAGCTTGCAAGGGGATAGACCGGTTCCAGGAGAGGAACAGGAAGGAACCAAGATGGAGAGAAATGAAGATGAAGATGAGGATGGAGATGAAAAAGAACTTGGAGTTAAGAGAGGACAGGAGGAGAAGGGACAGAGAACTAGATTGGAGGAGAATTAGATTGGAGGATGAGAAGGATGATGAGGAAGAGCCAGATGGGGAAGAACTAGGTGGGTAAGAATGAGATGAGAAAGACCAAGATGAGGCAGAACTAAGATGAAGGAATTAAGATAGCACTTAGAGGAAACAGCAGAAAGAGGTAGAGAGAATCAGGCAAGAAAAGAGCTAAGTAAGAAAACAGAATAGAAGCCATGTAGAGAGAGAACTGACTCAGAAGAATAAAGTGAATGAACTAAAAAGTTTTGTGTATGTAGATTCACTTAATATTGTCAAAGATTAGAATATCAGCTAGTTGTAGATTTCTTCCATGGACCCTGGGAGAGGGCTATCGAGGGGCTGGACCCCAATAGTCTTTGATAAAGTGCTTGGAAGAAAAGGGAACAGGAAGTGAATGCTTTGAAAGAAGTTTTTCAAAATTAAATGGGGCCTATTTGAGAAATTTTAGATCAAGTAGTGCCTCAGTGTGGCACAAATATTTCTTAAGTAACTATCATCATTATAAGAGGAACATATAGTAGATTTAGAAAACTCAGGAAAACACAAACATAATACACAAAAAGAACCAATTTTTTTTTTTTAAAAAAAATCACCTTTTCTTTATTAGTAGTATTTGGCATAAAGGACAATCTTTTTTTTTTCTTCTAAGCTAACCCATTCTCAGGAGCAAATCATTATTTTCTTAAATAAATGAGTTAATTTTGGTTGCATACGTCACATCTATTACATATTATTATATAAAGTGGTTTTTCATCTTCCACTCACATGTTATCACACACTCTACTTTTACTTCTCTGTTGGTAGCAGTTGCTATGACATGAGATATACCATGATGTACCTAGACTTTCCACTGTTGTGGAATATTAGTTGAAGATGTGTTACATTCATTTATGCTGTGGAATATTTGTTTAGTAATGCAAAGATGTGTTGCCTTCTTTTATGTTGCGTTTGTTTAACTTTATAAAGCTGTGTTACTGTGCATGTCTAAAACACCTGATTGGTCTAATAAAGAGCCCAATGGCCAATAGTTAGGCAGGAGAAAGGATAGGTGGGGCTGGCAGGCAAAGAGAATAAATAAAAGTAAAGGGAGGAATGAAAAAAGGAGGAGAGGAGGACCCTAGGGGCCAGCCACCCAGCCACAGTGCCAGCGACAGAAGTAAAGAAAGACATATAGAATAGAGAAAGTTCCAGAGGCAAAAAGTAGACAGGATAATAAAGTTAAGAAAAGCTGGCTAGAAATAAGCCCAGCTAAGGCCGGGCATTCATAAGTAAGAATAAGTCTCTGTGTATTTATTTGGGAGTTGTGTGGCAGGGCCTCCCAAAGAACAAAGAGTAGAAATAACCAGCTACTTTCCATTGCTGATGTATGCTGAGACATTTCTTTCTTTCTTTCTTGTTTAATAATTAAAGATACTGCTATGTTTCAAGAATAATGAGTCCAGGAGCACTAAAAGTCACTTTCAAAAAAGCAACTGAAACACTGGAAACAATTGCCAAACAATGATTTCAGAATTCTGAAAATTAACAAGAAGTTTGCAGCCCCCCCACCCCCAGGAGCATTTAATCAAACAAGTACTCTGCCAATAATAACCAAAATATTTGTGAGGTTTATAACGTGTCCTGTCTGTCCACTGATGCCAAATTCTAAAGTTCCTTAGATAGCAGATGGCTTCAAAGTCATCTCAACCAGATCTGTGTGAAATGGCAACTTAACAGACACTGGAGGATGCGCCAGGATTGGAGTCATTCAAGAAGCCCCATTCCCAGATAACTGGAAGATAGCCAGAAAGTGCCATTTACAGGGACAAGGTTTGTTATATGACTCAGACATTGTTCACTGAGAAAGTCTTTATTTTTGGAGCATTTGTTGAAGACAGTCTATGGCAATTGTCTAACACTGCAGCTGCTGCTGCTTCCCCTTCCTCTTCTTCTTCCTCTTCCCCTTCCCCTTCTTCCTCCTCCCCTTCCTCTTTCCCTTCCTCCTCCTCCTCCCCCCTCCTCCGTCTCCTCCTCCTCCTCCTCCTCCTCCTCCTCCTCTTCTTCTTCTTCTTCTTCTTCTCCTCCTCCTCTTTCCTTCTAGTTTTCTGAGACAGGGTTTCTCTGTGTAGCTTTGGAGCCTGTCCTGGAACTCACTCTGGAGACCAGGCTACCCTCAAACTCACAGAATTCCTCCTGCCTCTGCCTCCTGAGTGCTAGGATTAAAAGCATGCACCATCACCACCTGGTGGTCACAGAGTTCAGAGAATTAGTCTAGGAAATACACTAAACAAACAAATAAATAAATCAACACAGCAACAATAAAGTCTAGAACATTCAGGAAGTGGGGAGAAATTTTACTTCCAGATTTGCTATATGGTGTTCCTTAAGATGTCAGTCTTTAGTAAAAGTATCATGAGGCATATAAAGAAACAGGAACACATGGTCCATGCCTAGGAAGAGGGGAGGATAAATAAAGACCCTCTGAGAAGTCTCACAAGAAGAGGAGAGAAATAGACAGGAAGAAACAATGGCTGAAAACTTCTGTAGTTTTACATATAGAATAGAGAAAGTTCCAGAGGCAATTAATATTCTTATCTAAGAAGTGCAATAAGATCAGAATAGGATAAAGTCAGAGATTTGTATATTATACGTACAATGGTCAACTTGTCGAGAGGCAAACGTGAGAATCATATGAGCGTTGAGCCAAAAATGTATGTGAGATGCTCAGTAAGATTCAAAACTGACTTTCTGCCAGGGATGGACCTCAGCAGTAGAGTGCTTGAATAGAATGCACAAAGCTTTGAGTTTGTTTCCAGTGTTGAATACAGCCCAACACAGAACGCCCAAAACCACCTGACTGCCTATTGGAAGTCATGGAGATTACATGACTGTTGGATGGCATATTCCTGATGCCAAAAGAAAATCCATTTACCAATAATTCTGGTCCAATAAAACTAATCTTGAAAAATAAAGAAACTCATACAGCCCCAGATTCTCACTAAGAATTGCTAACTTCAGGTAAAATGGAAGGCTTTTTGACATTTATGGGAATCCATGGGGAGAAATGAACAATCGCAGTGGTGGCAAACATAAAGTATAAAGGGCAGTGCTATAGTCTGGATCTGAGTTGTCTCCCGGATGCTCTTGTCTCGAAGGTCCCCATCTGGTGACACTGAGGAGGTGGTGGAAATGACAGCATATGGAGCCTAGTTGGAGGAACTAGCTCAAAGCAAGGCAGTGGGGGTGGGTGTCTTTCTTTGGAGGGCACACTCCATCTCTGCC